TGTGCCAGGCGCTGCACAGACACACAGCGAGAGACAGTCCCTGCCCCGAACAATTCACCATCTCGATAGACAAGACAAAGGAAGGCTCTGTACTCCCATATCTCAGGTGGTAAACTGAGGCACAGGTGGCGCACAAAGATGCAGTGACTTGCCCACAGTCACAGACTGAGTCTGTGGCAGAACTAGGAATTGAAGCCACACCTCCATCCACGACCTTAACCACAAGACCCACCCTACCTCTGTCAAACACTCATCAACTTCTTTGGAAATGTTGCCTGAATATGAGCCGCAAACCACCCTTCCTTTCTTTTTGTCCCCCCAGCTTTATCCTCTCCAAACATCCAAAAGGAAAACCCCGTACACTAGCCCTTGAGAGTTTCAATTTGATATTTAGGCTGGAGCTAGCAATCATCCAAGGCAGGAGAACCATAGATTCCCCCCCACTAAAATATTTAACGTCTGGTCTTCTCCCTCAGCCTTTCTGCCTAACATACCCCGAGCCACATTGTTTGATGCTTTATTACAGTCAGACACTGCAAGGCAATTTCCTAACCCCAGCTCTGCTGGACACTGCTAAGTTTTCCAGGGTCGAGCTCATGAAGCCCAGGCTGGAGCAGCAGGGAACGCATCCCTGGAGGAGCTGGTGTCTCACTTGAGGCGGCGTCTGTGTGACTCAGCACCCGGCAGCGCTGCAGGTAACCTCACCTCCTTCGGACGCGGGGTTGCTATGCACATTTCACACCACCGGGAAGAAATGTCTGCACATCTCACTTCCCTTGGTAGGGTCATCAGTGGGCTTTGAACCCCAGGTCCTATAGCACAGACTTCCACTGGGTGAGCTAAAGGAGTAACTCCAATAGCTGGCAGTAGTAGAAAGTTAGGACCAGTCCTATTTAACATATTCATTCATGATCTGGAAAAAAGGGTAAACAGTGAGGTGGCAAAATTTGCAGATGATGCAAAATTACTAAAGATAGTTAAGACCCAGGCAGACTGCGAAGAGCTACAAAAGGATCTCTCAAAACTGGGTGACTGGGCAACAAAATGGCAGATGAAATTTAATATTGATAAATGCAAAGTAATGCACATTGGAAAACATAATCCCAACTATACATATAAAATGATGGGGTCTAAATGAGCTGTTACCACTCAAGAAAGATCTTGGAGTCATTGTGGATAGTTCTCTGAAAACATCCACTCAATGTGCAGTGGCAGTCAAAAAAGCAAACAGAATGCTGGGAATAATTAAGAAAGGGATAGATAATAGGTAGAAAATATCATCTTGCTTCTATATAAATCCATGGTACACCCACATCTTGAATACTGCGTGCAGATGTGGTCGCCCCATCTCAAAAAAGATATATTGGAATTGAAAAGGTTCAGAAAAGGGCAACAAAAATGATTAGGGGTATGGAACAGATTCCGTATGAGGAGAGATTAATAAGACTGGGACTTTTCAGCTTGGAAAAGAGATGACTAAGAGGAGATATGATTGAGGTCTATAAAATCATGATTGGTGTAGAGAAAGCAAATAAGGAAATGTTGTTTACTCCTCCTCACAACACAAGAACCAGGGTCCCCCAATGAAATGAATAGGCAGCAGGTTTAAAACAAACAAAAGGAAGTATTTCTTCACACAATGCACAGTCAACCTGTGGAACTCCTTGCCAGAGGATGTTGTGAAGGCCAAGACAATAACAGGGTTCAAAAAAGAACTAGATAAATTCATGGAGGATAGGTCCATCAATGGCTATTAGCCAGGATGGGAAGGGATGTTGTCCCTAGCCTCTGTTTGCCAGAAGCTGGGAATGAGCGACAGGGGATGGATCACTAGATGATTATCTGTTCTGTTCATTTCCTCTGGGGCACCTGGCATTAGCCTCTGTCGAAGACAAGATACTTGGCTAGATGGACCTTTGATCTGATCCAGTATGGTCATTCTTCTGTTCTTATGTTAAAGTTATTCTCCTTTCTGTGGACTAGCTACTGGAGGGGAATGTGGCACACACTTTGCTAGCATAAAGTAACTGGTTTCCACTGGGAGGTTCAAAGTTCAAACCGATTCCTTGGAATATTTCTGTTGACATTTGGCTGCATCTAGATTTGGCACCTACCCTGATTGGAGAGGAGGAAAGGTGGCGTGTCCAGCAGAAATATGCCATAGGCCCGTAACTGTATCTTCCTCCACCAGCCCCCGTCATTTCTGCTTGGTGCGGCCTGACTGTTAAGAGTAATAACACATTCTTGGGGCCAGCTTTGTAGGTCAGCTGAGACATCTAGTGGTCACTCAGGGTATTTCTCAGCCTTTACTCACATTTTTCCGGTTTTTAGCTAGGTCCCAACCAGAAGCCACCTGCTATCCCAGCCCTGCATCCCCCATCTCCTCCAACTCTGCCAATGCCCCTCAGTCCCAAACTGCAGATCCCTGCTCTCCCAGCCTGAGCTTCCCCCCAGAATCCTCAACTCCGCTGATGAAGTCCCTGCTTTTATGTCTCTTTCCAGATGGCTCCGGGTGCAAAGTCTGCCCCCGGGACTGGCTGCCCCACAGGGACAAATGCTATTGGGTCTCTAAAGAGAGTAAGTTCTGGAGTGAGAGCTTTAAAGACTGTGAAATGAGGACGTCTCAAATGCTGGTGATCCAGGACAGGGAGGAGATGGTAAAGAAACTAAGCTGGGGGTTTAACTTTGCCTGGGGAGGTTTTGTTATGGTTTACCGTGGATGTTGCTAACACAGCGGATGAGGGTGAATTTCAGAGGTGGAATATTTGGTTTAACAAGCTGGGCTAGACTGTCCCATGTCACCAAACATCCTCAACGGAAAATTCCATGTACCTGATCCCCAGCTCATTTAAATCTGTGTATCTCCACTGCAGGCAGTAGGGACAGCCCTCCCGAGGAAGGGGCTTGTGGGTAAGTGGGAGGGGCACAGGACGTGGTCTTGCTCCAGGCTGTTGGTCTCAAGAGCCATAGGAAAATTTCACTGACTCTTCCTCCCCACATGCACCTGCTTCCACTCTCAGGAGCGAGTATGGCCTATCCCTGTGCTTTCCTCTATCTAGAGGGCTCAGAGATGGGAATCTGTTGGAGTTAAGGCTGATCCTATTGTAGTGTGTGGATGCCAGCGTATGGTGCTGTGTAAAGTCACTGCTCCACCACTGCATCCAGTTACATCTTTCCAGTCCCATGGGGCTCTCAACGACTTGGGGTTCCCACTGGGCATGAGGAGAACACAAGAAACCAGAGAATTATATTCACCCTGATGCATCTGTCTCACACTTGGCAGGAGTTGATACAGAACATTACTCAAGGGACGAGCCTTGTTTGGATTGGACTCACCATTAAATCACCAGAGAAGAAATGGACCTGGGTGGACACTTCCCCATTAGATCAAAGTCTGTGAGTGTTTGTAAGTGGTTACTGGTTTACATGAGGTCGAAAAGTTGTAGCTGTGTTGGTCCCAGGATTTGAGAGAGATAAGGTGGGTGAGGTAATATCTTTTACAGGACCAATTTCTGTTGGTGAAAGGTCTTCTTCATCCTCAAGAATTAGCAATTGCTAAACTCATTCCTTTTTATGCCTCTACCTCCCCCTCATGGATGCAGGAGGAATGCAACAGAACTAGGCAAAAACTTTCTGCCAAAACTGTTTTTGGGGGAAAAAATAGAGATTCAGTGACACTGAAATGTTCTGCAAATTCATGTAGGCTCCACCGAATTGTTCATTTCAGAAAATCGATCGATTGATCGATGAATCAAAGCGTTCTATTTAGACATTTTCAAAACATTGGGGAATGGTAAACAATGAAGAGGAGAGGTCACTGATTCAGAGCGATCTAGATCGCTTGTTCAACTGGGCGCAAGCAAACAATCTGCGTTTTAGTTCGGCTAAACGTAAATGTACACATCTAGGAACAAAGAACTCAGGCCCTACTTACAGGATGGGGGACTCTACCCCGGGAAGCAGGGACTCTGGAAAAGATTTGGGGGTTGTGGTGGATAATCTGCTGAATATGAGCTTGACGCTGTGGCCAAAAGAGTTCAAGCGCTGCTGGGATGCATAAACAGGGGACTCTCAAGTAGGAGTCGAGAGGTTGTTTTACCTCTGGATTTGGCCCTGTGCGAGAGTGGTTGGAATCCTGTGTCCAGTTCTGGTGTCCACAATTCAGGAAGGTTGATAAATTGGAGAGGGTGCAGAGAAGAGCCAGGAGAATGATTAAATGGTTAGAATACCTGTCTTATAGTGATAGACTCAAAGAGCACCATCTATTTAGCTTAACAAAGAGAAGGTTAAGGGGTGACTTGATTACTGTCTATACGTATCTACATGGGGAACAAATATTTAATAATCGGATCTTCAATCTAGCAGAGAGATGTATAACATGATCCTGTGGTTTGAAGCTGAACCTAGACAAATTCAGACTGGAAATAAGGTGTAAATTTTTAATAGTGAGAATAATTAACCACTGGAACAATTTACCAAGGGTCTTGGTGGATTCTCCATCACTGGCAATTTTTAAATGACGATTGGATGCTTTTCTAAAAAAATCTGCTCTAGGAATTATTTTGGGGCAGGTCTCTGGCCTGTATTATACCGGAGGTCAGACTAAATGATCACAATGGTACTTTCTGACCGTGGAATCTATGAAAACAAAATATATCCATTTTTCGGACTGAAATTACTTTTCATTTCAAAATTGCATTGAACTTTGTGTTTTTAAAATTGAAAAAAAGTCTTTAAATGGTCAAAATCGAAACAGAACATTTCGATTTTGTCAAAATGTTTAGTTGGATCCCAAATGAATTTTATTTTATGATTCGCCAAAAATCTCAACAAGTTTTGGTTTCGGTCCAGCAAGAAACAATTTTTTTGCGGGTGGACTAAATTGCCAACAAACCGGAAAATCATTACTCACCCACTGCCAATTGCAGCCACATTTGGAGCCATAATCTTGACACGATCAGTTGTAAGATATTTAGTGACCGAACATGGCGATATTCTGAACAAAACAAACCCTCAACCGGGCTTGTCGCTGATTCCATCGCTTCACACTGACTCCAGACACATTTTAGACTTCAGAGTGACAAACAGGTTACGCTCCTGAAATCTTCTTATATCGGTAGTAATAAATCACATTTTAAATCACAGATCTTTTGCAGGTTCCCAGTAACTGGCTCTGCTGAAGGAAACAGCTGTGGGATGATCAGAAGGAATCGGATTAATTCTGAATCTTGCAACACTGAATTCAAGTGGATTTGTCAGATGGGAGCCATCCTGCTATAAACCTGGTGGTCCGTTCTTGGAAAAAATGAAAGCTTTGTATTTTAGTCTATGGGCAGTGATGAGTTTTATGAGTTGGAGTTATACATTTGAGAGAGAGAAGGTGGGTGAGGTAATATCTTTTACTGGACCAATTTCTGTTGGTGAAAGGTCTTCTTCATCCTCAATGAAAATTTTGGTGAAATTAATCTGTTCCAGCAAAACATTTTAAATTTTGTCAAATCAGCATTTTCTGGGGGAAAACTCCAGTGAGTGGTAGACTAAGAGGTTACTCCAGGAAAAGCAACCAGGGAGTCAATGCTCTGTAACAGAGCAAAGACGCACCTAAAGGTAGGCCAAAGGGGACTGAGAACTGAGCCCAGAAGGTGGGCTAAAGAGGAGCCCAAAAGGAGCAGAAGAACCTTTCGTTGGCTTGAACTTTTGTTACTCAGGAAGGGGTTAAATTTGTGTAGTGACTTCGCTGCAAGACGGAATGAAATTGCCAACAGAGACCCCGTGCAGAAGGCCAAGACGACTTGCCTCAGAGGTGGAAACTGACTCTGAGGCAGGGTTCACCTGCAGAGGCACACTCCACCAGAAGGGCGCATGATGGGGTGTAGAACCAATGTGAATGAAATTGTTTTTAGTTATCCTGTACCATT